CTATAAAATTAATTTCTTGAAGGATCCTTGTGGAAATATCGCCAATTATTAATTAAAGTATCCTCTTTTTAGAGTTGCTTCGTTAGTTAAATCAGCATCGAAAAAGTTCATTTTGTATCTTGGATCCAAATAAGTTGACATATCTTATCAGCTTTCTTATTAATTTCATTTTTATTCAAATATCGCAATAATGTGGCAACATAGGGTATCACTTCAGAAATGCACCAGAAATTATAACCATAATGACCGTATAACCGGATTAGGTACAACGTTTCAATATTGGGTTAATTTGGATTTGTGATTATTACAATTTCTTTTTGTTTTATTTAATTTATTTGTTATTAATTTTATTAATAAATTCTACAAAAAGTAAAAGATATAAAATAAATATTATGTAGGTATATCTACAAAGTTTATAAATAAATTAATATTAAATTTTTTTAGTCGCCTCAAAAAAAGAAAATTTTTAATAATAAAATCACACTCAATTATATTTTTGATTTTTTTTTGTATTAATCACGTTTTGAAAGATTATAATTTAAAAAATCATTAAAATTGTACGCTTTAATTTGCATGAATCACTATTTAATTCTTAACCTCTAAATATGATTTAATGCGTCCATTAAAAATGAAATCTTTGTTACAAAGTTTTAAGTAAGAAAAAATTTAATCTCCTTTAAACATTTTAATTTCCTGTAAACATCTTTATTTTCCTCTAAAACTTTTTAATCTCCTCTAGATTCTTTGAAACATTTTAATATCCTTCTCTAATTCCTAATTTTTGTGCTTAATACTTATTAAACAAAAAGGAAAATAAAATTTAAAACTTATAAAAGGCAAGAATAAAAAATCATAAAAAAAAAATCGGTTTTTTTTTTACACGCACCCGTATTCGTACCAAATCGCACTTTCTTTCGCCGTTTCCGTTTTTCGTTTATCGCCCACATTAACTTCCCCGCGTTCTTTTGAAACCGTAGATGGAGCACTTTCATTTGAAGGAACACTTGGGGCTTGTCTTTGAGTTTCATTATACACTGTAGAAATTTTGTTGAAAACTAATAAAGGTCCGCTGCTTGAAGGATTTTGAGTGGCGGGTGGTTGTTGAGGTGGTTGCGGGGTTGAAGCTGCCGGGGGTTCGTCTTCGGATAAGTACACGGTTCTTCGAGTACCCACCGAACCCAAACTTAAAGCGCTACCAACTGTTGGTGACGGTTCTTTAGATGGATATAATTGATCACCTTTAAACAAAAAAAATTATTATTAAAAAGAATTATTGTGATTCTCAATAAAGCCCCTTTTTTTATGAAGTTTTCAAAGCGCATTTTTTTGGTATAAAGCTGTGATGATTTCAAAATTCTACTAATTAAGGTGGTCCCATTAAATCGAAATAAAAAATAATTAATCTTACGTTTGGAGTTTTTATTCACAATATGGAACAATCGCGGTACTTCAAATGTAAAAATCTCTTTTCTGAAAATTGGGTTATAACATAAAAATTAAAATTAGAATCAACTATAAATTAATAACTTTGCTATATAATTAGCTTTGTAATATAGTACACAATACCAGTATGAACCGATTTTACACTCCTTGTTTACGAGCAGGTGTAATATACAACTGAGATAAGGACCACACGGTTCGTCACACCCAGACTATTTAATGACTCAAACGCTGAATGCTTTGTGTGTGTGCACGGAGGAATTTTACTAAATTAAGTGATCAAATTACTTTTCATTTCAGCTCACATAGATCATAAATAAAATTTATATGAAACGTTTCGTTATATTTATGAATAATTCCTTCAAGTTAGCATCAATCAAAAATATCAGAGACAAGGAAATGAGAGCTAACACGTTTAATAGATAATAATATATAACACGAATAGAGATGAAATTAATATAGAAAAAGGCTATTATGTAAATTATAACTGAATATGTAATGATTAACCGATGCAATTTAGAAATAGAATAGGAAGTAGGAGCGTAACAGAGGAAATGGAAAAATAAAAGGCGATTTTGCAAAAATTGGATGACTTTCTCCAGTTCAGCAAAAATTTGGAGTCGAGATTCATAGAAATATATTTGTAGAAGAAAAAAAACTATGATGTGTGAGGTTGTTTTGGTTGTGAATTAAATAAAATATATATTTATAACCTGTTTTTAAGGATAAATATACAAAACGTGTTTCGTTATGAAAGTGATGGAAATTAACTCAAGTTTTATTAAAATGTAAACAATAATAAATTTTCATGACAACGCCATGGTAAATGATTTTACAAATATTTTAATTTAACATCAGGTGGGTTCTGTGACGGTAACGCTACAATGTGATACAAAAGAGTTAAAAATCAATCTTTTGGAATCAAATTTGGAATTGTGGAGATAAAACCATGGTTAATATATATTATCGTTATTAACCATATTGATTTTAAATATTTTTTCAAAAATCAAGAAATTGGTTATTCTTTTTTACGTTACTATGTATTAATTCATTTATTATTATTATTATTCAATAGACTTCAGCCAAAGGAAGTCAATTTTTATTTTTACGAATACAAAATCAATTTAATAAATTCACATTACATTAGAGAGAATGTACTTAAAGCGTTTCCTTTGCACTTGCACCAATATGCATATATCAAAGGTAAATCTGTGGATTGCGCCCTACACATGGTAGTGGGGCGCATCGAACAAGCACTTGATTCGAAAGAGTCCATTCTGGGAACTTTCCTTGACATAGAGGGAGCGTTTGACAAAACCACCTTTAGTAGCATTAACCTGGCACTGGAATCTCGAAGAGTGCCATCGGTCATCGCGGGCTGGATTAAAACAATGCTAGCAAGCAGAGTTGTTCAGACTAAGGCGAAAGGACACACAGTACAGAGAGCTGTGGTTAAGGGTTGCCCACAAGGTGGGGTACTCTCACCGCTTCTCTGGTGCTTAATAGTTGATGATCTCATTCGTGAGTTAAATAATAAATATCTCTTCACAGTTGGTTACGCCGACGCCGTGGCTATCTTGTTAAGAGGTAAACCTGACAATTTTCTTTGTTACCGAATGCAGCAGGCGCTTAAACTCGTTGAATGATGGTGTGAAGAACATACCCTCTCTGTCAATCCTAAAAAGACAGAGACTGTTCTCTTCACTAAACAGAAGAAACTGGGACACAACGCCACCCAATTTCTGCAATAATCCATTATCTTGGACAAAGGACTAACTTGGACATCACACATTAGTTGCAAAACCAAAAAAGCAACGATTGCACTAACCCATTGGGAATACTTGGGGATTAAATCCGAAAGTTACAATGTGGATCTACACTTCTGTGATAAGACCTATGGTAGCTCACGGAGCCATAGTTTGGTGCTCAGCACTAAAACATGCATATAAAGCTACATCGCTGCATCAATTGCAACGACTGGCCTGCCTGCTAATCACAGGCGCTATGAGATCTACACCTACGATTGCAATGGAGGCTATGCTAAAGTGCTATCCCTAGATATTTTTATCAGGGAGGTGGCCGTGATGGCATTGCTTCGATTGCGATCAGTAAATGAAAAGCAAGTTGTTAAAATATGAATAGTCCGGAGCAAGCTCTGGAGTGAGGCTGTTAGTAAACAATCCCTCCTTAAAGCTCGCACAGACTACATACTTTCTTAGGCAAGCCACACTTTGGCATTGAAACGATACCCCAGAGCAACTCAAGCTCGGGCAAAACGCTGACCGTCTACACTGATGGATCAAAGAAGGCTGGAGGTTCCGGAGCACGACTGCTCAAGCCGAATTAATTGCTATAAACATAGCAGCCGATGCGATTATCGACTCCAAAAAAGTTGGCAGAAACGTTGTAATCTGTACTGATAGCAGACAGGCTATGCTGGCGGTTGGCAGACATCACACTGCATCATCGTTGGTGAAGTCCTGTCGGCAATCACTCGAAGAGGCAAACGTATACAACAACGTCACGATAAAATGGCGAAAAGGACACATCGGAATTAAAGGACATGATCATGCGGACAGGTTGGCGAAACGGGCGGCTAACAAGTCACCGATCTCCCCTGAACCGTTTGTACCACTAGCCGTTAATACAGCATCAAAACTGATAAACTCCATCTCCCACCGAGCTTTTTGCAACAGATGGGATAGGACAGCAGTAGGTGTCTTTGCTAAGAAAACTCTGCTCTACCCTGACCGTAAGACATCTACTCAGTTTCTGGGAAAATCGAAAAGTGACTTGAGGCTTCTCCCCCACTTCCTGACCGGACACTGCAGGTTACGTAAGCACATGTTTTACACGAAGCTGGCGAATACACCCCTCTGTAGAGGGTGTGAAATGGAAGACGAGACGGTAAGTCATATTGTTTGTGACTGTCCAAACCTCGCGTACTTAAGGGAATCTATTTTCGGAGTACCATGGCTCCAAATTTCGGATATAAGGAACGTTCATGAAAAGATTGGGCTGGTTTTCTGACCCTTGAATGAACAGTAAATTGTGGGGACGTACAAAGGGTCCGCTGGGGCCTAAGTGCTATGAGTAACTCACCCCCACGTGAAACTACATACATACAAATCAATTTATAAAAATACTGATTATTTATTTATAATATGTGAGGAAATCCCCACATATTTTGTTATTGTGCGATTCAATAAATTTCGCCCCCTCGATAAAGTTTTCAAAAACTGCTCCTCCTCTTCATTAATTACATCAATAATCCCTTGTGGGTCCTTCTTCACTTCTGGAAATGTTTCCCCTAATAACTCAACAACTGTATTTACTAAACTTGCAAAGAATTTTGGTTGGGCGTGTAATTTTTCTGTCGCATATCTAACAGCGCGTCTTAAAATTCTTAAAACGTACCCTCGACCTAATACTGGTCAGGTGAACCCCTCTAGGTGAACTCTATAAGCCATATCAATACCATCTTTATTTTCATCTCCAACCCTACCTTTTTATTTTGGAAAATATGTGGGGGTTTTCTCACATATTATAAATAAATAATCAGTATTTTTATAAATTGATTTTGTATTCGTAAAAATAAAAATTGACTTCCTTTGGCTGAAGTGGGCTGAAGTCTATTGAATAATAATAATAAATGAATTAATACATAGTAACGTAAAAAAGAATAACCGATTTCTTGATTTTTGAAAAAGTAATTAAAATCAATATGTGCAACGCCACAAATATATTTTATTGTCGTAATAAACCATTACTACAAAACGTCATTGAATACATAAAAAATAAAATGAAATATCAATAATACAAATATACATCTCATGGCAATTACACACTACACATTAAAATTGTGAGACTGAACTGTCGTGAGATATTCCTCGCACGAATAGAAAACGTTCTCCATCAAATATTCTTTTATTTTCCTCTTAAACCGTTGCCTAGACAGCGCAGTCAGCTGCGGTGGTAGTTCGTTGTAGAGTTTTTTACCCCAGTAATCCACATACTTTTGCGTTGATGCAATTCTGTGGTATGGTACCTGGTATTGGTGTCATGATCTTGTCAGATAGCTATAAGTATCACCATTGGAGGGAAAACTGTCTATGTTATCATGAACATGCAGCAATGCCCTAAGTATATACAAGACTTACAAAAATTAAGACTTTTCATCTTAATTTTTGATGTATTACCTGCCCTAGAAGTCTGTCAGCGGTTTTTTGAATCACCCTGTATATGCCTGGTAAGGTAACTATATTCTCATATTTAAACTAGTTCTTACAACGTTCGTCTGTTCGCAGCCCACACAGCACCCGTAACGCCCTCTTTTGTAGTCGGAAGATCCTCAGGAAATCAGATGCCCTACCCCAGAAAAAAACACCACACAACGCCACCGATCGAAATCTTTTGTAGTGACCCTTTATAAAAAAATGAAAATTACTCTTTTTTCCACTAAACCCAAAGCATCCGCCAAAACTCTATAACAAGTTGTTTTACCACCAAATGGATAACCAACAATCATCAAACCATGTCTTACAATAATCATTTCGTATAATTGATGAATTTTTTCTACAAAGAACGGGGTATTTTGGAAGTTACCCGTTTTGCAAGTATCTGCAACTGCAAGATCTAAAATATCGTCCTCAGATGTTTCAAATGCACTTCCTACGTCATTCCGCTGTCTAGATGCATACCCAGAAATTTTACAGTTGCAGATTCTCTCCCACGTCGAGTGATCTCCAACACTATATGTTCTGCTTTTTTACTGTTTAGTTTGAGCAGATCATTACTG